GGGGATGTGGTTTTGGGTATTTTGACGGCCGCTTCACCGCTTGACCCTGTTCCCTGGTGACTGTTCAATGTCCGTCGAAACCTCGCCAATCACTCCCGCCAAACGTTATTATCGTCTGCCTGCCCCTCAGGCTGTCTGTCAATCCTGGATGTCTGGCAACTCCCGGCTGTCAGTCAATCCCCTCTGGCTGTCAGCTCCCAGCCTGTCAGTCAACTCCCGGCTGTCAGTCAACTCGAGTGCTTGTCAACTCCTGGTCGTCAGCCCCTGGCGTCAGTCAACTCCCGGCTGTTCAGTCAACTACCTCCCGGCTGTCAGTCAACTCCCGCTGGCGTCCGCTCCTGGCTGTCACAGTCACTCCCTGTCCTGTCAGTCAACTCCTGGATGTCAGTCAACTCCCGGCTGTCAGTCAACTTCCGGACTCTCAGTCAACTCTCCGGCTGTCAGTCAACTCCCGCTGTCTGCCAGCTCCCGGCTGAGGCCGGCCGGTCGTTTTGCTCCCCGTCACCGGCCACACGCCGCGTCAGTGGCCGGACCGTCCCCAGCGCTGCCGCGTGACCCACGCTCCCGGGCTCAGGCGCGCAGACGACCAATCAGTCGGCGAGCCGTGCGCCGAGCGGTGCCACACATTCATGCGCCTGGTGACACGCGCTGGAGCCAATCGCCAAGGGCGTCGGCACGCAGCGCATCCTGGGCCGCGTGCACATGGGCCAGATCCAGATCGAGGACCGTGTTCCTCACGTCGTCGTTCTCGATCCTCGAGGAGCAGCCCATGGACATGCTGTCTCGGACTGGACATGCTGAAGCGGCATCAGGTGAGGGTGGGGGTGATGCTGCCGCCGGGGCCAGCTTCCGTTGTCGTTTGGATGTTTGTTCGAGATAGACGTATGACCATGACGTGCTGGTGCTGCTTGATTTGGCTGTACCCGCGAGGGTCAACGGACTGTGAGGGTAAGGCTGATGCTGGTTATCAGGGATGCTAACGAGGAAGCAACTTCACTTAGATGAAGAACCTTCTGGAAGCAATAACCAAAACTGCGTCCTTATCATGTAATTCGCCACATCATTATGATCAATACACTTGCAACATTTTGTCGTCGAAAATATTGCATGTTGTGCTGCCAGTGCCGTTTCGGGCCCCTGCCGCTTACGACAGCTTTCGCGCAAAATTCCCATCGAGCCTCTTCTCCTTGATCCCACATGACCCGACACCTCTCGTCGGCAGTGCGTGATTGACCCTGAAGAACAACGTGCTGCACATCGCACGCACGTCCAAGCAGTACCCCTTCCTGCCGGAGTCCGGATCTGCCAGCCCTGCGGCGGCCGCCCCTCAGTACACCAGGCCAGCTGCGCGAGACGCGCCGCAGGCGGCGTGTCAGGTGTATAACAGTTCCCTTGTGCTGGAACATGGCAGAATGCAGTGTCTTAAGCCCCCCGGCATGCTGAGCTACATGCCTGCGAGCTGCGAGCAGAGAACGTGTCTACAGTTATTTACTCGACTGTTTTAAAAGATCATTGGGTGCTGGCGGTGAGGAATGCCCATCAAGGTTTTAGGTGCGCCGAGGTGCTCATTTGCGTCAGCGCTCCGCACTGCGCCGTGCCTCTCGCCGCTCCGGGCCCCGGCGATACCGCCCCACCCGCCTGACGCCACCCGCTGCGACGCAGGACGGAGGAAGAGGCGACGGCCGACTCTGTGCGTGACGCGGAGGACGCAGACTTGGCGCGCGCCCTGCAGGAGAGCGCCAGCGCCGCTTCAGCCGCCGCGGCCGCCGGCCCAAGCCCGACCGCTACCTACCGCTGCCGCTGCCGCCGCTGCCGCCGCGTCTGTGGCGGGTACGGTCTTCCCGCGTGCAGGGATGGGCGCGGCAGGGCTGCACGGTCGGGTCGGGCCGTTTAGACGTGTGCATTTTGAGGGACTGGTAGAACAATGGCGTGTTGTGGCAGACTTGATGGTACTTTGCAGCACAAAACGCTTGTTGGTGATGCCAGAAATCAACCGTAGACATCTCTAAGTGGTATGTGTACCAGCCGACCCATGGCTCAGCGCTTCTGAGTTTCCATTGATTGGTTTCCCATTCGCGTCCGCTGCAGCGCAAGCGCCTGCTGCAGCGGCGTCTGCTGCAGCGCGAGCGCGTGCTGCAGCGGCGTCTTCCGCCACTGCCGCACCCTCCGGGGAGTCCTCGGGCGCCTCGCTCTCCGTCCAGCCATCCGACAGGTTCACCGAGAGGGACGTGCAGATGATCATCAACGCCGGCTTCCTCCGGTCTCAGGTGGGCGGGGCACGCCCTCGGCCGGGGCAGTCGAAGGCGCGGGCCTGGGGTGCTGGTGTGTGCCGCCGCCGGAGTTGGCCAGCTGTTGTCTGGGTAGTTCTGTCTCGCGTGCTGAGCGGCCGGTAACTTGTGAGCACGCGCGCGGCAGATTGAGATGATTGTTTTCGTTGGGGCTCCTGCACGGTGTTGCCAGGATCTGAAGTAGCAAGCGTCACTTGGTTCGATCACGAATTGCCCAATGCAAACGCTGGTGAAGGTGTAATGGATGTAACGCGACATGTGTTGTGATTGGTGGAAGCCCTGCCCACCTCGAGGCAGGCATCGACGTTCCCAGCCGTTATTTAAGTCGTTAGCTGGTGGTAGTTTGCGGTGTAAAGCGCGTCGGCGTCGAGACCATTTTGCACTGACATGTCTGTTGCGCAATAGTTATTTGGGTCGGCGAACGCCCACACGTACCACTTTTCCAGCTATGACGGCCAGACGTGCCATGGTTGGGCATAACCCTTTGTCTTGGTTTGTATCTCACCTGTCCGTGATAGAACTAGAACCGGTTGGACGGAAACCTTGGATACCTATCAATGGCGTGCCCTAGTTTACCACGTTCCCTGGTCATTGCAGGCGTTCGAAGAGCTGAGGAGGTGCGGCGGTGACAGCACGAAGGCGGTGGCGGCGCTGTTCGCGCGCTCATTCAAGCTGCCCAAGATGTGATCTCCGGCGTCGACGCGACCGCGCCGGCCCGCTCGTGCTGTAGACCAGCCCCGCGCCACCGACGACACGCAGGCGGCGTGCTCGAACTCATTTCTGGTTCATGTGTGCAATCTCCAATCCGAGAGACTCGCTTCATGGATGCTTCGTGTCCTGACTTTGGCAGCGGTGGGCGCTGTTCTTGCGGGTCAACATGTGAACAGTACCTGTAGTGTGTGTGGGTGTGGGTGACCTCACATACACACGGGTGCAGCTGTACAGTTCTGAGGCACTGTCCTTGTGACCTCACACAAACAGCGTGAACCACCTGCTGATATGTGGGGGCTCGTCGCAGGGTTCGAACACCATCAGACACTATATGACTTCACCACATTGTCAACCACTGGTGTGTCCTTGGTGGCACTTCCGGCTTATGTTGTGACTGAGCATGCAGTCTCATGAGGAGGGCTGATGTAAAATTGCCATGTCTCATTTTAGCAGTTGGTTTTATTGGCAAGGACTAACATTTATGGTATATATTTGCGAGTTTTGCTGTGAACTGTGTAGTTCTCTGCAGATGAAATGTGCAAATTGTAACACAGTACTTTTGCATTTTATGATACAGTACTGCAATACACCACCAGACAAACTTGCTTGGTTGACTCATTATATGGTGTGAAGTGCAGCTTTTAACCTGTGACAAGGAAACATGTTGGACTGTAGAGACTCTCCATTGGGGTGGTAGGTCAGGCATCATGAGCCATTGCTGGCAGTAAGCAGTCAAGCACCCAGAGAACATACAAAGCTTTGTTGATGCTTCATCATGTGGTACATCAGGTACATGCATTTTAATTCACCTTACTTTATACTGCCCCAGATACTGTTTCCATCTAAAACAAGATGTTTCCTGCGCTGCTCTCTGTTCTCAGCGACCAGGATCATGTTTGTTGTTGAGAAGTACTCATATTGCATGGTAATTACAAGATTCAATGTTCCCATAACAATGGGGGTTGGACAACATTTTTGTAATGAAGCAAGCGTGCATACATACTCAACGTGAATGGTCATCTTATGGTTGCATAACAATGATGACTACAGCTTCACCACTTTGAAATTAAAGTTTTGAGGTCTCCTTCATAGTTCATACAGAAACACCCACCCAAAAACACATAAAAGTCTCTCAAAACTGATCCATTCTTAGGATGACTGTCGATCTCAGGATCTGAATGAAAAAAATACGCAGTCCAGAATCGAGGGAGGACTGGCTTAGATGACTCTTAGGCCCTAGAAAGCAGGCATTTTCGCTATTATTATTTCTATTGTTACTATTTATTACTACTATTTCTATCATTACTATTTTTAACATTTCGTATTACTTTTGACTGTTTTCCTCTTCAGTGCCATTTTACTCTTGCCACTGGCATGGGAGATTCTTGCAAACATTGCGTGCAGAATTTCAGGTAAATCTGAGAGGTCCGCCGAATCCCGAACATGGACCCGAATATGTATGCAAGTTGTGGTGTCCCGATGTCTCGCCTCCGGCTCACTTGTACACACGGTACGTCCAAAGTCACTTCTGTATTTGACACTCGCCACAGGCACTCATCACAGTCCGTCCCGCCGGCACGTTCGCCCTCTCGCCGACGGCCCCCAGAACCCCCTGCTTGTTACTACCTCCTCTCCGGACCCCCACGGCTGCGTCCCTCGCACGGGGTGCGTGGGGGAATGGGAACACGAGCGCCTCTAAACGGCGCTTGCCAGACTACGCAAACATTCACTGGCTAACACAGGGGTGTTCTCTGACACCTTACACTCCACTCTTCTAAAAAAGAATACCCTCATACTGAAATTACTAATTCATGACATAATAAACAAATCCATGGCATCATGAACAAATATCTCACGAACATAACTTAACGTGCACAGAAAGAAAGGCCCTTAACCCATATTCGTCACGTCATTGTAACTAACCTACACAACATAGCAACGCAACACAAACGCACAATAAATCATTGTTATGCACCCAGCTATCGCAGTCACGCGTTACGTCGATCTGGAGACCGTTTGACTAGCGCGCTCCGCTGTTCGCGATGACCTTTCGAAGATGGTTGTCCTACAGACACTGGGATCCGGGACCTGGACGCACTCGAATGGGGACTCGGACTAGGTAGTGATTCGTTGGGTGGCGCCAGGCCACGGAGGGACAGTGGTGACGTGGGCCGCGGGATACGTGACCTGCAAGCCGGGATAGGGCACGGGGTCGGTATCGCTGCTATCGCCGGTTCGTCAGGCGGTTCAGCCGCGGCCTGAATTGGAGCGAGATTCGCGGCCTCAGCCTCCTCAGGCGGACACCCAGGCACGCCAGTCCTTTGCGTCACTGGCAGACGCAGAAATGGTGCTGCTGGTTCAGCCGGTACAGCTGTATGTTGTCCGTCTGTGGACATCGGTACGGCTGGTGCTGGTGTGACTGTGCCGTCTGGTCCAGGCACCTGGTCCTGCGACTGTGCCGTTTGTGCGGCGCCGCAGCCGGCGCAGTCCGGCGTGTGGGTGTTTCCGACGGCGACCGTCGTTCTGCAGTGTCACCGTTACGTGGCTTCAACCGATTGCAGTGGACCAACAGTTTCCTGCGCCTGCCGCCGCACAGCTGAACTGAATTAACTACCGCATTCATTAAGCTGAATGCGGTAGCTCAGCTCACCTGTTTGAGCTAGCGCCACCGCCGGTTTCCAGGGCTGAACAAACTTGTGATACTCGCCTCGGGCCGTCACCTTCCGGAACAGGTACACCGCATCACCCGCCTGGTAGCGGAACACTTCTAACGTGCGGCCGTACAGATCTCAGTTTGCGGCGATTGTCGCCTCTGTACGTTGTCGCGCAAAGTTATGCGCTTTCAGCAGTCCCAGGTGGAAGTGGTCCACGTGGACCGAGAGCGTCTCACGTTCTGTTTCAGCGGTCGCTGGGGGCCAGATGCTAGCCTCGGCCGGCAGTCGCGGCTCTCTCCCCATCATTAGGAGATACGGGCTGGAGCCTGTGCCTGACCTGACTCAACCAGTGAGACTAGCCGCAGAGTTACGCATTCATTTCAGCTGCATTTTTGCCAAATGATTTTTAAGATCAACTGGCATTCCTGTCAGTTTATAGAACTGCGGACCATGGCGAGCTTGATTATTTTTGACCGCCAGGATGCCGGTGCGGAACCTACGACTTGTTATGTGCAGGGACGGGATAGTTATTTTAATATGGTAGCCACAAAATAACTACCATAACGAAGCGTGTGAGTCAAAAGTGAGGTAGCATGTGAAGGGGCAAGGCTATCTAACGGGTAGGGGCTTGAATATGTGAAACGTCGTACTTGATGAATTGAGCTAAATTGTAAATATAATAAAATTGGCCCCTCAATAACATTGTTTGACTGTGTGGCAGAACATTTGTATGGTTTTGAGGGTGTAGCCTCGCCGGCTGTGTGAAATTGGCGCCCTGGCATTCCCTGGTAGCACTAAAATTCACCAGGAGATTGCATCGGCAATGCTGGATTTGTGTTGATGCAAGTTCCGTTATGAGCTCATATTTTTGCCCTTTTTATGATGTACTTGCAAATTTGTCTGAGTTTAAATGGTTTATTTTATGTTCACAATACCACATGGTGTAATTCTTAAGCTATTTCATTATAATTGTTATTTCTGTTTTATCTAGCACCTATATCTGGCTTCTTGCATTATGTGACACAAAACATAATTTTGTACAGATCATGTACTGCCTATATAACATTGAAAGCAGAGCTGCTCAGCGGTTTATTATATCTGTATTTGAATATGTGGGTGGGACACCAGGCAGATATGAACAGCTTAATGATGGAAACATTTATACCCTTATTGGCCATCAATGCTCCATGGCTAATCAGATGACAGTATTTGGATGGTGCTCCTGTGACATTGTGCCTGCCTGAATGACCTGGAGGTAGTCTCCATGAAACAGCCTGCATATCTTCATGGGCATGATGCACCCCCAGCTTAGGTTTCACTGCCCATTACCCCTCTTTTGACCTGTGGTAAAATCAGCCAATCCTTAAAACTTCAAGCATGATGGTGGGCCAGGAAGGTCAGATGTCTATGTTCAGGGTCAAAGGGTCTATTAATGCCAGTGAATATGTGTGGTGGCCTCCAGAGAGCCAGGATTATGGTGACATGAATTCAGATGTACATTCTGGACACCACGTCAGATGCATGCTAGAATGCTGCTTTTCTTCCATGTGCTTTGTGGCAGTGTAGGCTCAGATGAAGTAACAGGTTGCCATGACCATATTTAGGAAGTATCACCTGTTCATTGCACAACTGCTTGGCTCTTCTTTGTCATGATCTCCATATTTGTCCCAAATATCTCATACTGTTTGATCTGCAAACATTTTATGTATGACTATCTGTATCCATACAGGTATAGAAACAAAAAGCTTTGCATGAGATTCTGAAAACCAGGGACCCAGAAGTACACCATGCCAGTGGATAGCAAAAGGAATCCAAGGCCAGAGAGTTCCCAGCCTTATTCGGAGTTCTGTGACCCAGAAGAGGAACCATCTCCAGGGGCTGGTGGTGTGAGGCTGAATGGAAGAAAAGATGATGAGCTGAGACCCATATGTGAGTACAACCTTACCTGTCATATTATGGCACATGTGCCAGCTCACAGGATGACAATAGTGAGAGTGGTGGAAAGCACCACCATCCTGGCTAAGTGTATGCATAAAATGAATCTGAAAGTGCTGGAATCAGCTGAGATAGGGGGAAAGATCTAGCAATGAATGAGGAGATGAACATGCAGGGTACACTGTTGTCAGATGGGTACCATCAGACATCTATAAATAGGTGAAGGATGGGAGGGGGGGGGGGGGGTGGTAAATGACCAGAGCCAGGTGAAGGCCTATCCCAGTGTTTGAACATTAGTGCCTACCAGTACTAAACATGATAGTTTGTTCAAAAAACCAAATAACCTATTCTAAGCAAGAAAAATGCAGAAATATAATTTTGCCATGGACACAATCACAAATATTGTGCATATTGTTGTGGTGTGTAGTGTTGTGCCTATGTCATTTCTTCAATCAAGCAATTCAATCCGGTCAAACATTTAACTGTGTCAATGCTTGTATGTGACCTGATATGCTGCCCCCTCGTTTCAACAGACCTGCGCCTGGGCACGACGCTGCACGCGCAGGGCTCGTGCTACCTGGAGATGGGCGCCACCAGGTGACGGCGGCCGTGTACGGGCCGCGCGGGTGGCGCGCCGCTCCGAGTTCAGCACCACCGGCCAGCTGAGCTGCGAGCTCAAGTTCGCACCGTTCTCGTGCCGCCGCCGGCGCGGCTACATTCCCGACAACCAGGAGCGAGAGCTGAGCCAGACGCTGCGCACGGCCGTCGAGCCCGCCGTCTGTCTGGTGGGTGGTCGGTCCCGGATCACCATGCTCTGTGTGGTGTGTGGTCCCGCATGGCCATGCTCTGTCTGGTGGGTGGTTCCGGATGATGATGCTCTGTCTGATGGGTGGTCTCGGAGGCTGAGACTCAGTCGGGTGGTCCTGGAGGTAACGGTTCCTGCAAACTGACGGCAGTCACTTCCGCCACTGTTGGGTATTACGACGCATGACAGACCAGCCAGCTGGCTGCCTGACCGCTTCCGTCGCCTCCCCGTGCTGGCGCGGACCTGTAACCGCGCCCCGCTCCGCCGGCAGCACGAGTTCCCCAAGTCGAACGTGGACGTGTTCGTGTACGTGCTGCAGGACGACGGCGGCGCGCTGGCGGCGGCCGTCGTGGCCGTCAGCGCCGCCCTGGCCGACGCCAGCGTGCCCATGTATGACCTGGTGGCCGCCGCAGCCCTGGTGAGTCCGCGCCGGCCGGCTCGCGGTGGTGCGCGCCGCGGCCGGGCGCGGGTGCCCCTGACGGCGGTGGGGTGATAAAGGTGACGGTGATTTGGGTTTGTGGGCGCACCGACTGCTTTAGTGACATGGCGGTGATTGGATTGTGGTGCCGATTGACTGAATTTGGACGTGTTGGTAAATGTGTTGGATGAAGCAAGGTATCTCTGCATTGGTATCTAGTAGCTTGTAATGTACAAAATTGTTGGACAGAATGCTCGCGTGATACGCAAACCGACCCTTTCGTCTGGACGAGCATAAGAAAAACATTGCGGACAAATAAGATTATAGAATATGACCTAGTGGTGATTATAGATAGAAATAC